AAGGGGACAACCCCCCCCCCCCCCTCCTCTCAGTAGACTTAAAATATTTGAAAAAGGACCTTCAAGGGACATTGCTAAAAATACGTACAATAATACATCCACCGAAATGAAAGTAGCAGAATAACCTGTTAATAATAAATGTAATTACTTGGTTACATTTTTTATTCAAAGTTATTCTAAAAAGTAAATTTAGAAATTTGAAGTTTATCCAATTAAAAAACTTTCCGTGGAAAGAAAAAGCTTTCATGTGATATTTGTTACTAATACATTTTTAATTTCTACTTGGCTTTTTATGTCAGTTAAGTAAAAAATCAACAAAAAACGAGCAAAAAACTGATTGATAAATTGTTGGGAAATCAGGAATAAGTAAGAAATATAATGATTAGTTTATAAAACAAATCAACAAAATAAGCTTTTGAAAAAATAACATTTTTATTTAAATAAGGTTTATGAAAATTTTATAACTTTTCATTCCGACTTAATGTGAAGGGTAGATGAAGGAAAAATAGACCCGGTTGGGGGGCTTAGCACAGTGGGGGCCAAGGGTGAAGGGGCTTGGAAGTCCTTCAAATTCCCGCATGAAAAATTGGGTGAACACATGAAATTTGGTTAAAATTTGTGAAATTTGAAACTAATAATTAAATTTTGAGTCTTAGCCTAACTGGGGGATATTGGGCGCCTCTAAGTATTGTGGGTCATGTTGTTTGTTCGTTTCCCTAGATTAGGAGAGAGGGTTGATTATCGATAAGATAGATAGATAAACACATAAACAAGGTTGGAACTATGTAGGGTTAAATGCGCGTAAACAAGAGGGGTAAATGTGCGCTTGTGCTTTCACATTTTTCAAGTGTAATGATTAATGTGCATTGTAAAACAGAAAAAACATAATGGATATATTTATTGGGTTTTATAAATTTTGACCGCAGTTTTTCTTCAGAAGTTTAATGCTTTAACTACTGCATGGAAATGCATAATATCCAAGGTGCAACGGCAGAAACAAATAGCTCAAGAACTGAACAGGTACCAACCCAAAAACTGTGGAAAAAACAAACAAGATCAAAATAAATTTTTGATTTTAATTTTAATTTCAATGTTCATTATTTATCTTATATCTAATATCCTACAGCTGTTTATAAAAATTGATGCAATTAACCTTACTTTGGTAATAATTGTAAGTAACGGAAATAAATTGCATTTACGGCCATGACTTGATTAAAAAAATTTAAAAGTGGCTCTTTAAGGGATCATATAAGAGGGTGCTAAAATAAAATAGCTTTATTTTCCCAAACCTCGCACACACATGAACACTACGGGAGATTTCTGAATGGGCGTCCTTTCCTAAATCCAAGCTAGCCCACATTTTTCTTACAGACATCCGTTCGGGTCACGCAATGTCGGGCCGCGCCACAGCTGGGCTCACTGCTTCCCGGCCCGGCACGGACAGGCAGCAGCTGCGGCCCAGCACGGATAAACAGCTGACGAGTGATAAATAAATATTTTGCAGACAAAATGTTTGAACTATAACTACAAATTTTTTAATTTCTTGGTGGTTTCTTAAGTTGCATCATGCATGTTATAAAAATAACAGGAAAGAAGAGGGGACTAAAGGGGAGACGTAACAAAAGTCTTTTAAAGATATCAAATTATTTTTTTAAATATTAAGCACCAAGACCATTTTGGTCAAACAAAACCAAAAAAATTATAATCTGTGGTTTTAGTTTTAGTTTAAAAAGTCAAAAAAAAATTTTAGTTTAAACTTTTTATAAACCAGTTTGATACAAAGAATCTCTAACTACGAGAACAAGAGAAGGTAAAAACCCGGACAAAAACTAGCTCACGTCACACACAAACTCACAACAGTATACACGTCACACACAAACTCACACAAATATACACACAACAGTATACACGTCACACACAAACTCACACAAATATACACACAGCAGTATACAAGTCACACACAAACTCACACAAATATACACACATCATCAGTAAACACGTCACACACAAACTCACACAAATATACACACAACATCAGTGTACACGTCACACACAATTTACACAAATATAAACACAACATCAGTGTACACGTCACACAGTCACACACAAACTCACGCAAATATACACACAACATCAGTATACACGTCACACACAAACTCAACAACAGTATACACGTCACATACACAATATACACAAAACAGTATACACGTCACACACAAACTCACACTAATATACACACAAAAGTATACTCGCCACACACACAACGCACACCAATATACACACAGCAGTATACACGTCACACACAAACTCAAACAAATATACACACAACAGTATACAAGTCACACACAAGATTACACAACTATACACACAACAGAACCTGCTGATTTTTTTTTTAAATCGAAAAACGATTTTTTATTTGATTTTTATAAGAGCTAGTTAGGTTAGGTGGTCCCTTAAAAGGGGCATTTATCTGCGGAAGTGTTCTATAAAAAGCAAATATTTCTAATAGATACCCCAAATAGCACGTTGTATGCCTAAAAAGGTAGAGAAATGGTTTTATCTGATATATTGCATGAGATTAGGAGGTAGAAAGACCCAATATTGTATATTCTTATGTAATCTTATTATCTATGGACTAAAACTTTTAGTTTTCTTTATAATATTAGGTTTTTATAAAGTTTTGTTAAATTCTTGTACTTTCAACCACGCGTTTCGGCACGATCTTTTACTTTTTGCTTATTTTCTTAACTCCATTCAATCTGAGTGATGCGACGTTTTGTAGCTTTATTTGCGCTGTTTAGTTCCGTTCTTATTCAGTGTGTTCATTCTCATTCAAATCCGTTAATTTCTCGGCTTATCCCATCCCTCCCTTCCCCCTTTTCTCCTCCTCCTCCCCCCCCCCCTTCTGCATCCTGTTGTAGGTCACTTTCCCCCCCCCCCTCCCCGCTCCCGGGTACCCCGGAAGTGTGGTACTAAAATTTTCTATAATTCTATCCCTAAGATCAGGTGACCCCTAGCACAGTGGGGGGGGGGAGTTCTCATCTGCTCCGCCCCCACCCCTTCCCTTCTACATAAGAGGGTTTAAACCCCCCGAAGCATTGCAGGGTTTACAGACTACCCAATTTAATACTGTCGAATTTTGACCAAAGAGAGAGAGCCGATACATCGCGTTCATGAAATATAGCTTTACATAAAGGGCTGGGAGCAGGGGGCGTAAGCTGCGATATAGGGGGGGGGAGGGGGGCTGGGGGTATAGCCTGTGATATTGAAAAGTAGGGGAAGGGGTAAATAATTGGGGGGAAAAAAGTTTGAAGTTGTGAGCTGAATGGTTTTAGAATTGGAATTCAACAAAGCTTAGAAGAAGATAAATAGATCAAGAAATTAAATTTTAAAAAATGGAATTCAAGGAAGCAAGGAATAGGCACAAAAATATCAAAAAAGGCAATAAATAGGCATAAAAAAGATTAAAAACAAAAATTCACGCAAGCAATAGGCACAAAAAAGAATCAAAAATAGGTATCTATTTTAAAGAATGGGTTTCAAATTAGTTTATGAAAAAGAATTAAAACAAGTACAAAGTAATAAACTAAGGTTTTACGAGTAAAAGTTTTAAATTTGAAATAAAACTGGAATAAAACCATGGATACAACAGAATAAAAAATTCACAAATTGAAAAATAAATTTATAAATAATTGTGAGAATAAACAGCCTGCTTCGTTTTTTCAGATAAATATTTACAAACCGCCCCTCCCCCCCCCCCCCC